GAGAAAACGACTAAGTAAAATCTAAAATTGACTATATTTGAATATCCAAAGATCTAGGCTAAGGCTTTACCTATTGCGATATACTAGAAGCAGGTGTAGTCACAAACAGTGACTATGCTATTGTAATCACAAAGATGCTAACAGGCATAAAGAAGAAAACTAGATCTTTGGCTATTGAAAAAAGACTAAAAGGGAAAAAATAGTCATTTCTCCTTGACAAAATAACAGAAGAAAACTGAGAGGATTATAAAACAAAACTAGGTAGCTTACTCAAGAAAAAGCTGAATATTATAAAAGACGAGCATGATCTAGCTTATCTAGAGTTACTAAACAAAGATAACTTGTGGGACATAATTACAACAAGCATAATCAAATGTGCAAGATCAACTCTCCTAGGAAAGAAATCTATAGTGAGAAGTCCTGTTACAGGAAAAAAGAGAAAGAGCAGAAATATTAAAAAAGACCTGAAAATAATTAGAGGCATGTATCAACAATGCTCTTCAAAAATAGGATAAATATCGATAACACAGACAAGTATTTAATGAATATAAAAATAGCAAAAATAAATAGTCTGTATAAAACAGAAATAGAAAAGCTCTCTGAAACTACGTAGACCAAAAAAAGACAGGAAGAGCTAAAGATGTAGTAGAAGATTATATATTTAAAAGCTCAGCAAGCAAGAAAGAAAGAGGATCTTGAAGAAATTAATATAGCAGTTGAATACCGCTATGAAGCAATACAAGAAGAACTCAAACACATAATAAGTAACTTGCTTGAAAAATCTTTAAAATGGGTAGTCATAGACAGAATTGTCAAAGAAGATAACTCAAAAATAGTACTAGTGAACCAGAAAGCAGAAGTACTAGAAGAAATGAAAAACTACTTCAAAAGGCAATTCTGCAAAAGAAATACCTATGCTTCGAACATGCTAACTAGATAGAAAAAAGTATATAACCTACTAGAAACAGTAAATAGCAAAATATATGACAGCTTAGAGGACGAGATCTCTGAAGAGTAATAGTTAAAGGTACTTAAAAAGACAAAGCCTAAGTCTGTACCAGACCTATCCAGTATAAGCTATCTATTGATAAAAAAAGTAAGTACAATAGCATAAAAAGTATTTAGATATCTCACTAACCTATGTATTAGAGAAAGAGAAATCCTAGCTAAATAGAAGCTTAGCCAACTCTATCCAATATCTAAAGAAGAGAACTAGAATTATAATCTGTCTAATACTTGTTCAATTATTCTAATAAAAACTTTTCGCAAAACAGTAGTGAGAGTTCTAATACACAAACTAGACAAAACTCTAGTAGACTTCAATGTCTTGAAAGGTTCTAATTATGCTGGGCTTTTAGGTAATAGTACAATGAGCCTTATTTATATAATGAACAATTTGCTCGAGGATGCAAGACAAAAAAACAATGAGCTATAGATTCTATTCTAAGACATGCAAAAAGCATTTAACTCTGTAGGTTTAGAAATACTAGAGAAAGCCTTAAAAAGAATTAAACTTCCAAAAAATATGACCAACTTAATATTAAGCTTGTACAAGAAAAGGAGAATTAAAGTGATCACAAGCTTTGGACTAACAAGTAAATTTGAAGCTGAAGATGGACTTGACCAAGAAGAAGTAATCTCATCCTTAGTCTGGCGCATCTTTTACAACTCACTTCTATATACAGTAAATAGTACAAAAGACATAGAATATTAGATGATAACAAACTGGCCAACAGACATAGCTTATAACAAAACCAAAAGACTAGTATACTAACAAGCTATACTCACTTACACAGATGATACAACTTGGATAGCAAGATCTAAAAACGAGCTACAGAAAATAGTAAATATCTTAAATGAGTTCTATGAGATAAATGATATTGAAATAAACAGTAAAAAGTCAGAGCTAATAGTTGTGAATACCAAGAAAAAAGAGAAGAAAAATGAGATACTAGCGATTAAAGTAGGAAAGAAACAGAATCAAGTTCTTGCAAAAAAAGACAAAGATATAATAAGATACTTAGGAGTATAGATCTCAGAAAAAGGAAAACAACATTATATCCTAAATATCATAAGGAATGAAGTGAGTAAGATATGCAAAGCTATAAGGTAGAAAAAAGTATCAGCAAGCCAGCTCATATATTTAAACAACAGTGTCTTGCTACTATACATATCGCTCAAACTACAAATTTTTAAAATCTTACCTAAACCCAAATCCCAAGTAGAAAAATCCCAAATCCCATTCTGGAAAAACCTTATTTGGGCTGCCATAATCCCAAACTCTAGTCAAATCCTAAACCCTATCCCAAATCCCAAATTCCATCCCAAACTCTATCCCAAATCCCATTCCAAATCCCATCATATGTCTCAAATCCCAAATCCTATTCCAAATCCTATCCCATGTCCCAAATCCCATCATGTGTTCCAAATACCAAATCCTATCCCAAATCCTATCACGTGTCCCAAATCCCAAATTTCATTCCAAATCTCAAATCCCAAATCCCATCCCACGTCCCAAGTTCCAAATCCTATCTCAAATCCCAAATCCAAATCCTATTCCACATTCCAAATCCCAAATCCTATCCCACATTCCAAATTCCAAATTCCAAATACTATCTCGTGTTCTAAATTCCAAGTTCTCGAATCTAAAATCTTGATCCAAATTTTAATTATAAGATATAAATACATTTTATTAAATAAAATAAAATAGTGATGTAAAATATTATTAATTACACATCTACAATGAGGTATATTTTTATTATTACTGTTTTTCGATTCATTATATTTTTAGATATTAAAAAAGTATTTATTTAAATAAGTTCTACAAAATATAACGAATTATGCAATTACCTGAGATTCACAGAATTCACCAAAATTTTTTTTCATCACAAATCGATCAATTTCAAGTAAATTAAAAATAGCGATAAAAATATTAAATATTCGCAATTCATAATATTATAGTTAACAATTGATAGCATTCTATGTTTTTAAAGCTTATCCAAGTCTCGTATAGATCTTTTTTTTTATTTATATAGTATTCACAAACTTCAAAACAATACAAAATTTAAAAGCATAGTGATTAAAGATCTGACCTACAAAATGTTGTCACTATCCAATAATAGATTAGAGGTTTTTAGGTCCTAGATCAACAACTGAAATGACTTTGGAACAACCATTATTGTTAGAAACACTTAAATCCTTCTACCCAAACATTATATATCTCAAAATTTTGTATATCGAGTTTTCTTCACAACTCTTAGATTTTATTAGTGATTTACAAAAACTTTAATTTTTCACTTTATGGTTTATTGATAATATCACACCAAGTTTTACAAGATTCTTTATTATAAAAAATCTACTTAAGTGGATTCCAAATTGATTTCAACATACAATAATAATAAATAATTCTCTCATGTTTTATTGTAGTATTTGCTAGAAAAAAAAATTAAAAATAATATCATCAAAGTTGTCAAAGTGTAACTGAAGTTATTGCACAGGTCTTATGTAACAACTCATGCTTTTTTCATTTACTTATTGGCATGGGATTATTATGTCAGACACTGTGCAATAAAATAGTTATTATATGGGTTGAATAATCCAGTTATTTACACGAGTTCATATTTAAATCTCGTGCCTTCAGCACAGAATATGAACTCATATATAACTGGGTTATTCACTACAACTCATACAATAACTATAAATTACAACTCTCTAATAAACACAGTAGGATACTATTTCCTGTCTAGGGGCGTGGTAGTGAATTCTCAATTCAATCAAAATCAAACAGAATTCGGCATCTTCATTATGATGATTGCATTCCAAATGCTTGCGAAGAGCAACAGCTTTCTTGATCAAATGAAGAAGATCTTCAGGAATCTTGAATACTAGACTTTAAAAGTAATCAATATCATTAATACAATTGTTCAAATATAGTAGCTTCTTTTTTTAAAAAAAAAGACTAAAATAAAAATAAATAAATAAAATAACAAACAAATAAATAAGTACAGTTGCACTTCCATATAGGCATATTTACTTTTGAACCAACTATTATTCAATATAAAAAAATAATTCTCTACATAAGCACATTCTAAACATATCTTCTATATAAAAACACTTTTATGAATCTCGATAGTGTGATTATATGGGAGTGCAACTATCAATAAAAATAATAAATAAAAATAAAAAATAAAATAAAAAAATAAAGTAATTGCTTACTATAATACTTTAAGATTCGAAGAATTTTATTTACTGTAATGTTTTTGACTGTTTTTATAACATACAAATTCTGAAAAATAGCTTTGACAATACTTTTACTAAGAATATATATAAACTTAAATTTAAGATAAAGAGATGTATCAGATCTCTTAGCATACATCTAATATAAGTAATGCTTATGATTTATAAATCATATTCCGTAGACAATTCATCGAGTTCATACTAATGATATAGTAGAATCATCTCAATAATAGTTGTTACCTTGCTACAACTTGCTGTAACTATAACAAGTAATATAGTAATTTATAGCTATAATGCTGTAACTTACTCGTTACTATATTACTTGTTATCATTATAATTACGGCACGTTACAGCAAGGTAACAATTATTATTGGGATAATTCTACTGCATTATTAGTTCATATCTATTTTTATAGAACTGTGCCTACTAAAAATTTCTTACTTTTATAATCCCAAAAGTTGTAGTAGCAAACCTATTTTTAATTCCTAAGGAAGTAGTATAAATATAGGTTTTTATCAGGTTAAATTCTGATTATAATAAATGTAAATAATAAAAAAGTTAATCAATAAAATAAAATACACAAATAAAATAAAAAATATAAAATCGTATATACTAACTAATAGAAAGCTTTTATAATAAAATCAATTTATTAGCTAACTAGAACTATACAACTTACGAATTTTTACGGATAATATATAATTTTTTTTTAAAAAAAAAGAAGACTAATTCTAGAGATCAAATTTATTTAATCAAAAATCTATAGATTAAAGCAATTCGTTTACATCAAAATTTTTATCTCTATGTATAATTTCTTCAATTATACTTGATGACTCACTAAGCTTTAATTTGAATGATAAATTTATGAGATTTTCAATTTCTAAATTTATAGAATTTTCTTTAGCTAAATTCTCTTCTAGGAGATCTTCCATATCTTCTATCGGTTCTTCTGTAGATTCTTCCTGAATAGAAAACAAATCTTCTTCACTAAATAAATCAGTGCCATCTTCAATAGAACTTGAGATTTTATTAAAAATTGATAAGAAATCCTCTTGGCGAAGATTTAGATCTATATAATTAAGCTCTGACTTAGCATTCTCAACTAAAAATGAATATATCTGGGCCATAATTTCTAGACGACTAAGACTTAATCTAAAAAAAATATTTGCAATTAGTTGTTTAAAAAGTAAATAAATTTAGTGTTTGAAACCATATTAATATTTCAATTACAATTTACTATGTGATATCTGTACAGTATACAAACTTTTTCTGTGTAGCAATAAAAAAAACTAAGAACTGTGCGCACTATTTACAAAATGATAATTTTTTTCTGTGCAATATCTGCATATCTACTCAAAAAAAATATGCGCATAGCCTGCATAGTGAAAAATAATCACTAGTTTGGAATTTCTTAGTTAAATTTAAAAATAGGCTTTACAGTACTAGGTGACAAAATAAATTTATCAATTAACAAAAAAAAAAAAAATCTCAGCAAGTTAAAATTTTTTTTAATTAAAAAAAATTTTTTTTTTAAAAAAACAGCTTTAAATACGTTAATTTGCCAATCAAATTCATTATGTAATCATTAACCAATCAAAATATATTATATAATTATACAGTACTTAAAACAAATTGCGCATACGTATGTATAAATTAATTTAACTAAGAAATTCTGAATACATATGCTTAAAATAAATATATCTAGTTCTCCTTTTTCCAAAATACCATTCTAGTATGCTAAAAACATGCTCACAAGTAGCGTTATAAGGTAAAATCGAATGTATTTTTAAAGCAAGGTTTTTAATATGATCTTCATGTCTTTTTATTTCTATAGACATCCACCAATTAGTAATTGTATTAGCGGATGCAATAAATTTATCATCAAAAGGAGGCTCCTGATTTTTATACAAATTCATTTGAGTTTTTAGAAGATCTGCACTTGTTTGACTACCACCTAACTTTTTCTATATTTCTAAAGCCTTTTTAAGAATATGATTTTTATATATGTTGAGCTCAAAAAAATCACCTTTAATAAAAAAAATTAAATTAAATTAAAAATATGTATTCTAAAGTAGGCTAAATATATAACTTTTTAAGTACTCAAATGCTTTTTTCTAATGATGAATCTGATTCTGCAGGAAGTACATCATCTTCTGATTTCTTTGAAATGAT